GAGAGACAAATAGTAACTTAATAGTTTGCTCATGGTAAGTTGCATGTTGAGGATTGCGGATATTCACGTGAATAATGTTTACATTGGTTGTGGAATTGAGGCTAACGGATCTTTAAGGATATAATTAGTGTCTCATGTGATAAGAATTCCTATGGTGGGTAATTATGTATTCATCGCTAGGTTTGTCTTTTGTTCTTTTAATATATCTATAAATCATGTACTTGTGAATGTTGTTGTGTCTCCGCTAGATGATCATGCATGTTCTTGTTTCATTGGTTCATGGTTATTCTGTCGGTGGACATGACATGCATTGTGTTGCATTTGGGGTTAGGCAAATTTTTGGGATACGGTGGAAAGTGTTCTGGTGCTATGAATTTTTAAACGTACATAGCTAAAACCTCGTTAGTGAGTAGTGTGTAGTTGAGAGAGAGGCTACATGTGGGAAAGTTAGGTGTATATGTATAGTCGTGGTTCGTCTTCTGATCTACTTTTGTTTGAGATGAGATGAGATCATGCAGCTGGTTGGGGGGTGCCTCCATACACTAGGCCTTTTGTTGATATTTGGCAGAGAAGTATAGCCAACTCTGGCACTTGCTTGATTCTATATGTTCAAACAATTTATATATATATATATTTTTTTTTTTTACTATGCATAATGGTACAATTGTAATATCTTACAAAGACAATAATGTTTAAAAGTGAAAAATTACTTCTTAGAATGAATATTCAGTAAACGTGACAGCAAAATTCAGTAAAGTAATTTCTCGAAAAATATAGAGGATGTACACAACTGACACGCACAAAACAAAAAAAATATAAGAAGAGGGTTGTTATCTTTCAACATATGTATATAGATTATGTGAATATTGAATCTCATCCAATATCATCGAGAATCTCTTATTTTAGCCTCTTCTTCTGGTTGATATCTTTATTAACTATTTCTTGGATCCTTTTTTCACTCCTATTTGATTTGTTTGAATTTTTGCATTTTCTATTTTTAGCACCGGAGGGAATCTTTAATAATTAGAACTTCACACCATACTATGTTAATATAATAAGGACATGGGCATGGTCGGGTTAGACTCTTTGATAAGTGTGATAGACTAGATATAATTTCTATTCATAAGTCTTATCCATATATCTAATAAACTATGTTGTTGCTAATTAAAAATGAGCAATACACTAAAACTTTGTTTAAAAAAAAAAATACAATGATGCGTATTTTATGAAGTCTTCCTTAAATATTACCAGCTTTCTACGTGTGTTTTTGGTAGTCTTTTGTTAGTAAAGTCTTTCTTAAATTTGCAAAGAATTTCTAAATATTTTGTGGTAATTTTTGAAAATGCAAGAACTTATAAAGAAGCAAAGTATAG